CTGCGCTTTTTGTAGCATATTTTCCAGCGCAGGCGAAATTATCAATTAATCAACGAAATTGAATAAATGACGCATGGCTTAGCCTTCAAAACTGTGAAAAGCCTGATATAGTCCATTGTATAGAAATTGTTGCGTTTTCTATGGGCTCAGTTAACAATATTTAAATAAAATATAATATTTAATACTTTTTTTTTTTTTTTTTATATTTATAATACTAGCTTAAAGTGTTGCACAAGGTAAAATTTTATTTATCATATATTATTGCTGAAACTTTACTTATTAAAGTCTCTGAGAATCATCAATTTAAAGGTAAGCCTATTTTTAGTCAGGGTCTTGACCCTAATTAAAGCAACGTCAAAAGATATATGCAACACTTAAAGCAGCTAGAACTAGCTCACACACACAAACGCAGTCACTCAGCTCTATTGCGCGCTTTTCTTTTTCCCCCCACCTCAATATATATTTTTTAGAAGCAGCTGAAACTAATGCACGCCAATTTTCAATACAGAAAATCGAACTTTGAAGTGGGCGTTGACGCGACGCGCCCTACTTTAAAGGCTGCCCTGAGGCCCCGAGGCGCCAGGGGGAGGCAGCACACGGTTCTTATGGGCCATGATTGGACTTAACTTGCAGCGCGGCGCGTCGGCTGCTGCTGCTGCTATTGCACATCGCGTGCTTGGCCAAAAACCACTTGAAACTATTATTGATGAACACGCGCGATGAACCGAGGGGCAGATTATGTGGCACAATGGCGGGGTGTGGGGGCCACTGAGGCAGGAACAAAGGCCAGATGACTGACAGCAGCAGCAGCAACAGCAACAGCAGCAGCAGCTGTTGGCAGCATAGTTGGGCCAGCGATGCCACGGCCATTGAGTTGTCGCGGCAACGAATGCGTTTTGTGCGTGTTAAAGCGCACAGAAAATATGAAAATATATAAAAAATGCGAAAAGTATGAAAACGAAAACGAAAACGAAAATAACGCTGCAGACTCAGAGGCGCAGGAGGAGCCAGCACTTTACCACTTTTTATGCTTGGCGATAAATTAAAATTTTTATTAACATACTTTTCTGTTAGCCAAACGCCACTGCACCTCCCAGGCGGCCCCTTCAACAAACGTCAGCTTGTCCAGCACTCGACGCACTCTTCTCTCTGCCTCCCTCTCTATCTCGCTCTGTCTCTCTCTCTCTCTCTTTCTTATGGAATGGAAATTCCTGTCCAAGCAATTTTTATGAGTTGAGCAGCGCACGCAAAAACTGACCCCTAAGTACCAGCACCCCAACCCACTCCACTCCGCACACACATCCCTCCAACCCCGCTCGGCCGGCTATACAATTATAATTTGTTGACGCGTTCGCTAAGGCTTTATGGAAAATGAAAAAAAAAAAAATTAATAGAAGTGCTTGTTCAGTGACAGAGTTTCAGGTCTGATGAGTTTTGCGTCTTAAGCGCATTGGGCAACGAAGAGCTAAGGCAAAACTATTATGGCCCTGTCCCAAACGATTAACATTTTTCCACTTTACAGCCAATTATTCATACGAACTATCCGAGAAGGCGATAAAAAGTGTTTAAGTTCGAATTGAAAGCGCAAACGAAAGCGAAAGCGAAACGAAGCGAATAAGATAAGTTGCAATAAGCTGAAGTCATAGCAAAAGCATCAAATCTAACTAGACTTGAGGCTGCTCAAGAGTTAAATCAATTCAATTTGCGACCAGCTGAACGTAGCTTGGTTTATGAGAGTGAAGCGTAAAGAGATGCGCAGAAGGCCATAAAAAGCAAAAGTAGCTAGAGAGAACAATGTAAAAATAGCCATTTTTAAGTCATAAACCAAGAGAAAGCAGAAAAACAGTAAGAAAAGCTTCTCAAAGCTTTATGAGAAGCGCAGAGAAAAGCGTTTAAGTAGAATTTGTAAAGTTAAAGATTTATTAAAATTGAAATCAACTTAACGATGCAGACGCAGCTATAATAAGAGAAGTGAGAAAAGAAGCAAAAAGCGTTGCAAGAAGTTCAATATATAAAAGAGATAAGCAAACACAAGCAACATTTTTCGGGTAGAAAGAAAAGGAAAATAATAAAACCAATGAGTAACATAATGAAAAAATAACAAAATGAAAAGCGCAGAGAGAAGCGCTAAAGATAAGCAGAATATGAAAAGTCTTAAATGCATTGAGAATGTAATCGCAATGATAAGAGAACTGAGAGTAAAGAATAAGAAACATTAGAAGTTCAAAATATAAAGAAGAAGCACAAAGATAAGTTATAATGAATAATAAGTATATACGTAATAAAAAACGCATGGAGATGTGCTGAATTAAAGAAAACAGAGAGCTAAATAAACAAAAAGTGAAGATCATCAAACAATTCTTAAGTGAAGCACTGAATGAAGCAATGAGAAATGAAAAGAATTTGCAAGAAGAAGAAAGAAGCGCAAGTAAAACGCATATATAATCAAGAAGTTATTCCAGCAACTAGGTCAAAACCCAGATGCTAAGTATGTAAGGTGTATTCAATTTATATAAATATGTATTGTCATTATATTTACACTTATATAGCCAAGAAATTGTCTGAGATTTTTCTGAAATTAATTATAGCACGCGACCTCAAAAAACAACGAGTATTACGTATAGCAAACAAATTTCTATAATAAAAAGAATAATAGTTCAAAAGAATATGTATTTATATATGTTTTTATTTATATAAACATATATATATACATATATATATATATTATATTTTTTAATATTTATTATTTATTAATTTATTTTCAATTAATTATACTATTATTTATATGCATTTCTATACATTCATAGAACAAATTTCTATACGATTTAAAAAGATATAAATATTTGATAAACCTCTCCATATTTCAATCCTCTTATATTTACAGCTAAGTCCCGCTTGCATAACGGAAACTGTAAAAATAAATTCGATTTGTCTCTGTTTTTTTTCTGCACATGTAATTGAACTGTTGGAAATGATTCAACAGATTAAATAAACAAATTTATTTTTACGCAGATTACAAATTTCAGTTGGTTGGCAATAAAAAGCAGAATTAGTTAGCAAATAAAATGGCATTTGCTATTCAAAACTGTAATTTAAAATATCACAAAAAAAAGAATTGCGCATTTGATTAAAAATTAATTGAAACATGTTTAATTCAAACCGAACTGAACAAACGACAACCAAAGCCAGCGAAGTGCCGTCGCCAAATTCAGCAAATTGCACGTAGCAAACACCTGCCCACCTGTCCTGCTCACCTGTTATGCAAATGCTATTCACTACTGTGAATGCTATACATGTGATTGTGAGCGAACGCGTAATTCAATCATCTCGCTGCACACAAATAAACAAGAATCGCGCGCATCAATACCAAATGTAATTCAATTAATTTTTTATTTTTATTACAAATCGAAACAAAATAAATAACTTTATAAATGTAATCAACTGATTGGCTGACAGACATAACAACAACCAAAAAAAAATGTTGTTGTTAATGTAATTGATTTGAAATACCCCACTGCGCACAGAACATATATACAGGGTATGTCTGCTTTGCTTACAAAATGTTTTTTAATTGAATTTCTGATAAAAGATATAAAAAATAATTTATATATATATGGCGTAATAATTGGCTGTGGGCGTGTCGCTGACAGCAACAAATAACTGATATACATACATAAGCATATGTGCATATATGTATATATATGTATGTACATCAGACAGTAAATGACATTGGAACAGCCATTAACCGCAGATGCAGCAGGATAATGAAGTCCTGCCCTGGCTTCGCCTGGCCTGGCCTGGTCTGGTCTAGGACTCGCTTCAATATTTATTGAAAGGCTGCGTGCGTGGGTAAATGACAATTTTATTGCGCAGCTCGCTCATTAAAAAATTTATAGTCCAGACCGGGGGGTGTGGGGCAGCCTCGGGCTGAGGTTAATAATGGCTTCGCAGCGACCTTTTAATCATCAACACAATTTCTGAACTGTTTATAGTATTTTATTTTATTTTTTTTTTGTTTGCATTGTTTTGTTTTTATTGCTGCTGCTGCTGGCTGGTCTTCAAATTGCTCGACGATTTATGGAGGACGACAGGAAATTGAAAATGCCATTAAATGCGGTTACACAGAGACACTTTATAGCGGGCGGGGCCTGTACTTTTTTAATGCAGCATATGAGGCATTCCCTTCGATTAAGTCTGACGCAATAATCAATTTAATTGCGCTGTAAACTGATTAGCCGGAAATTGATATAGAATTCTAACTATGAATCTATGAGAGGAGCTATCTGTATAAAATTACAATATATAAGCTTAGATAAATTAGATTTATCAAAATTATCAAAGTAAAAGCGCCAATAGCAACTATATGAATATATTTACATTAGTTGAAAAAATATATTTCCTTCAACAAAGAAAATATTTTTTATCGAAACTAAGTTAAAAATTATTTTTTTAAAAAGCACAATCAAATTAAATATTAAATATAACCTATTAATATCAATAATTATATAAAAGAAAAAAGATAAAAAACCTAAATTTATTTAAACTAATTTTCTAAATTTTTAGTTCAACAAAAATAACATTGTTTTAAAAACATTTTCGAAATTAAACCAGTTTCGAATTTCATTTAACTAAAAATTGAATTTTGCTGCATAAATATTAGATTATTTTAAAAAATATATTTAAAGACTAATTTTCAAATTCTTCGATGTGCAATATAAATATTCGAAAAACTATATACATAAATATATATACAAAAATTAAATTTTTTAAAAATATATGTGTAGTATTTTAATATTTCAAATAAATTTATAATATTTATTTATTTTACATATATTTATATTTATATTCTGTTCACTTTAAATATATTTAAAACTTATTTTAAATATATGTATCTATTAATTTTTCCCCCTTTCTAATGCAATTATTTCTGGTTTTTAGAACCAGTTCCACATTGTTATATAATTAACATGGAATGGATTTCAAATTCAAGATTCGCTTACCAGACAAAAGAGTTGAATAGTTTTTTTGCTCCGCACGTGAAGTAGACCTCAAGTGGAGTACAAGGACGTAGCACGGGTGTTTCTTTTGCCTTCTCAATTTGCGTTAAGAGGTTGTGTGTATGTCGCGCGCCAAAAACTATGCAACACAAACTATGAATGTCTTCTGCTTGCGTTGCTGGCCGACTGCCGCCGCCGATGTCAATGCCTGATGGCTGGTAATGTGATTAGTTGGCTCTGCCGTCGTGGCGTGTGTGTGAGTGAGTGTGTTGTGAGTAAATTTTAATTTAATTATGTCGTCGTCGTAGTCGTAGTCGTCGTGCACTCCTGTTATTCGCCTCGCTCTTCAGTTACGAAAAACCAGCTCAAAGCAAACGAGCGCAAACTAAAGACACGCACTAATAAACAAAGGCAACAATAACAGAAATACAAATGCCAGCAGCACCCGGCAGCAGACTGTGCGGGGTAGACAGCGAGCTAAACCGTTAGCGGTAACGCTACCGCGCACAAGTCCAGTTAGCTCGACCGACAGTCAAATAACCAAAAGCGGGCGACCGAATGTCGAATGAATGGCGAATGAATGTGAAATGTGTGGACTGCAAAACGAGATGCGAATGCGAATGCGAAGGCGAACGATGCAGACCGTTTAGTTCGACGCTGACGCTGACGCTGACGCTGGCTGCTCTGTCGCTCTGTCTGTGGCTTCCTCTGGCTGCTAACTGCGGGCGATGGCTGGCAATCGAATGCAACTGCTGCCGCTGCCTGCTACAAGCGACTGCTCGGCGTCTCTGTTGCATACGTTGGGGCGAGCTATGCGAGGAACGTGCGGCAATGGAACACTCACGAATCACTTTGTCGTTTGAGTGCAACTTGCAGTGTTGAGTGTTCCGGAACGGGCTGGAATTTACTGAAACACACCAAGTGCACACCTGTGCTTCACAAGGGATGGGGGTGGCAGTGCTGGAGCTTGTGTTGCTGAGTGTGCGTGTGTGTGTGCATGTGCGTGTGCCTGTGTGGGTAATTTTACATTGACAAAAATGCTAGACGAAAATTTAATTGAGTTTACGATACTTACTCCCTACTTAGAGCGCACACAATTCAATATTTGGCTCATTACTGCAAGGGTAGTTAGGCAGAGGGCTGTTACCCACTACACATGCTTGTATCAAAGAGCCATAACATTCAAATTATTGCTTTTTCCAAACACCAATTTACTATCGAGAGACAAACACTATGTGTACTTAGGCGCCTGGGTAGTTGGCCGAGCAATTTAATCGGGGAAGAACAAGAAGTAGAATAGATGAAGAACATGGATTGGGTAAACAGCACAAGCAATGTGGATGACCGTGTAACGGCAACTTAATTAAAAATATTAGCAGCCAGCTGATGCCAAAATATTTTATACCCAATTTCAGGTGCTTATGCAACGGATTAAGGTTGACAGAGAAGAGGAGAGAAGAGATTTGATGGAGATATCAGATTTGACTATATATAATAAGAGAAAGAGAGAGATAGATTAAGAGAAAGAGAGAGATAAAGACAGGCAAAGAGAAAGATAAAGAGAGAGAGGGAGAGAGAGAGATAGAGAAATGAAAGGGGATAAAGATAGATACAGAGAGGGAAAGAAAGAGAAAGAGAAGGATACAGAGAAATATAGAAGAAGACAGAAGAAGAAAGAGAGTAAGAGAGGATGACGGAGTGAGAACAAGAGTTGACAAAGACGGCACAATAGCGAAGAGCATATACTCCACAAAAAATATGTAACAAAAGATGTAAAGATGTAAGGGAAATCTAAGAAATGTTTTATAGTCTTCCTGATTGTCTCGCATTATCTTTTTATAGTTCTCCTATTTCAACGTGTCTATAGCGTTTTTTCAGTGGCATAAATCTAATCAATATTTATAAAAAAATATATATCTATATTTCTATATAGACTATTGCATAATCCTCACTACATATATTTTAAATAAATAATACTTTTAACACATGTATTCATCATCACTTTCTGCTCTCATCAAATACAGGATATTTCTGACTCGCATTGTGTTTATTTTCCGAGTAGCGGCAGCAGCAGCGGCAGCATAATGGCCACATCTTTCGATATGGCTGCCTGGCTGGTTGTCTGGATTGTATATCCTGGTCTTTGTGCGGCCCGTCCACCTGGCTGTTGCACCTGTTCTACAATATATACAGAATGTAATGATGCACCTGGTCGGATGCTAGCGTTGCCGCATGTGGAAGGCAGCTTCATGTGGCAGCACCGACAGGCGCCACAATAAAAGCGTTGCACGCACTGCAATATGCAACAGTTGCAAATACGCAAACAGAGCCAAAGAGCTGCGGTTGCAAGGCCCCCTGTGCCTGCATGTGTGTGCCTGCGTGTGTGTGTGCCCGTCTCTGTGTATGTAAAGTAAGTCGTTGTGTAATCTATCCATGAAAGTCGCTTCCGTTTTGCATTTTGTATGCTTAACGCATCGTTTGGTCGCACAAATTGGGTTTCACTGTTGTTGTTGCCGCTGTTTTTGTTGCATTTCACTCACAAAATAAAGTGAAGCGAAAATGTTGACGTTTACGCCGATTGGATATGCCTTTGACACAACCACATACCAATTGTGCCAAAGCCATTCGCTTCGGCCTTTTCGCCCTTGGCTTTAAGGAGGTCAAACTGTTGCTTTAGCTTTACCAATTAAAGACTTTTGTCATTTTGACAGTCAGTCAGAAACTAAGATCCGAGAGCAGTAAAAGATGGAGTAATACATAAATAGATAAAGATACAGATACAGATACAAATAAAGATACAGATACAGATACAGATACAGATACAGATACAGATACATATGCAGATACAGATACAGATACAGATACAGATACAGATACAGATACAGATACAGATACAGATACAGATACAGATACAGATACAGATACAGATAAAGATACAAATAAAGATACAGATAAAGATACAGATACAGATACAGATACAGATACAGATACAGATACAGATACAGATACAGATACAGATACAGATACAGATACAGATACAGATACAGATACAGATACAGATATAGACACAGATACAGATGCAGACGCATAAACTGATACACTTATAGATACAGATACATACACATACATATGTTATACATATATACAGTTATACAGTGTACAGTGCATGCCACACTGAGATACACTCATATCTTCTACTTTATAGATACCCGCAGCACAGCCAACAAACTGCCACAGTGTGCAATTTATGCTTGCTATCGCAGCATACAAATGCGGCGTGAAGAGAAGGCGGGGCCTGCCTAATAGGATTGCGGCTGTAATTTTTGGGGTACTTGTGTCTTTGCAGTCTTGAAATGGCCTCCAGAATCGGCGTTGATGCAGCTAATGTTGCCCCCGCCCCAAACGCACTATCTGTAGCAATTCGTACAGCGAAATGCTCTTTTTACTTTTCTACATTGTGTTGTGACTTCTGTTTGAAAGAACTTAAAATATTATCTAAAAACAATATAATTATTAATTTATTAATTGAATTTAAAAGATTCACTTTTTTATTAAATAACTATTAACATAAAGAATAAAGAATTGACTACAAATATTTTCATTTAATTTGTCTTTAAGTATAAGTATAAATTTGAATAAAATAATAAAAATAATAATAATAAAAAATGTATATAATATACAATATAAATTATAAGCTATCTAAAGAATAGTGTTAATCAATTATAGTTCTTTTGGGTAATTGTAGTATTTTTTAAGGTGTTATTAAATTGACTAAGATACATAAATTAAAATTTAATTATTAAATATTTATAATTAATTTAAAAAAAAAGTTCCTTTTGATATAAACAACCATTTAAAATGAGTTAAATGTAAACATTCATTGTGGAGCCCATAAAGAGGAGCAGCGTTAAGTGAGTCAGCGCTCAACGATCAAGTAACGGTGCTTACACGAAATTTAATTACAATATACATGTATACAATTGAGCAGTGCTTGAGCAGCACTAACACACACATTTATTAACTTTAAGAGATATAAATAAAAGAAATTACAATATTTTCATATTTTCGCGGCAACAGCCACACTGTGAAACTGCTCAATATGCACTGTTAAATCTAACAAAGTTGCTGTGACGAGTACTATCGAATATAATATCGATATATTGCATGCGATATGACAATGCTGTAAGCCTATCGAAGCCAGCTGTACAAGCGAGGCGGAAAAACTCAAAAGAAACAGTTAAAATAGAGACGCTTGCTTTTTGCGCACCGAAGAAAAACGCAAAATCAAAATAATTATATTTTTAATTAGACATAATTTGGAAATAGAAACAGAGAATCGCTGCAATTATGCCGCGTACCAAGATAACAAAGAACTCGAAACGGAACCGCGAGGCCGCCAATCGCGAGGAAAAAATCCGCATATTCGAATTAAAAATGGATTCCGTGCTGATGAGCATTGACGATCTGGAGCAGCGCTACAATGGAATGGTCGAGACGCAGCTGCAGGGAGTCTTGTTGCGCTTGCAAACGGAGCTACGTGAAATGAAAATGTGCGACTTCCTGGAAATTCTGCCCAACTTAGAGCATTTCGGTGACTTTAAGGCCAGTGATCAGACGCAGCATCTGGGCTCGCAGTCCATGTACAGCAATACAACAAATGGCGGCGGCGGTAGCAGCAGTAATTGCGCTGCTGTAACAACAGTGACCAGCAGTCGCAACGACGAAGGTATTTATTGTTTGTCAACTTTTTCTTCGCTTTTTGGTGGCGCGTTCTCTAACTCTGCTCTAATCTTCTTTTAATTTTAATATTTGGGTCATCATTTGCATCACTTACGCACACACACAAACACGCACACACACACACACACACACACATACAACCACATCCTATTTGCTGGTGCACACTCTATTTAGGCTACTTTACAGAGGACAGCGGCCTGGGCGGCGCCGTCAGCTGCAGCAGTGCCAGCACTTTGTCCGCGTACACAGGGTCCATGCTACGCTCGGCCAAGGCAATGCGCACACCTGGGCCTTTGCATTCGGCACGTGCTCGTCGCGAGCGTCGCAGTCGTTCAGCCTGTGGCAGCGTCATACCAAAGGTGCTTGGAAACACAAGCAGCGTTATAACTAGCAACAGCAGCACCTCGAATGCCCAACGAAATTCGCGCAGCAAAATGCGAACTCCCATGGCAGCGCGACCGAAGGCCATCAGCGCAGATCGTACGCCGCGCATGCTCAAGAAGCGCAATACCTCACCCAACACGCCGCCAATGGCCTTCCTGCGCTGGCCCAAGCCCGGCGAGGTGGCGCTCTCCAAATACGGCAGTCCCATTGTTGCCCAGGTGTAAGTAATGTTACCTCCCACTCGTATGCTTCACCCTTCAAGCAACTAAATGCCCATTCCCTTTGCAGCATGCCCGACAAATTTGCGAATGTGAACATACCCATACGCAATGGCATATTATCGCTGCGGCCGAAGAAACTGGCAGAGGTTAAGTCGGAGCTGCTGGAAAATCTGGATGAGGAAACTTTAAATCAAATCAGAACATTGCACGAGAGCTTGCAGCTGATCGTAAATACGGCCAAGCAGGCTGGCTTGAAATAACCTCAACGCTGCTATCTATTTAACTATCTAACTACATTTACATATTTGTTCGCTTACCGTACACGACACATTTTTTATGTTCATTTAGTTTTTAAGTTCAGTTCGCATATTTCAATCTTTTTAAAATGTATTTTAAAATTAAGTTTATCGCAAGTTAATAAAAATTTAAATGCTCAATCGCAGCAGGCGCCACAGCTAAAACTAAACAAAAATCGAGGCATTGGGGAAACTTTTTCAGCAGAATGCCGCGCACCAAAATAGCTAAACGAAACCGCCAGCAGTTGCGCGAGGATGCGGAACGCGAGGATCAGCTGTGCATGGCAAAGATGAAGCTCGAATCGGCGCTGGAGAAGATCGATGAGCTGGGCAAGCGCAGCGCACAGCAGGTGCACAATCAGCTGCAACTCATATTGGCGCGCACGCATCAGCATGTTCTGCAGATGAAGTGGAACGACTTTCTGAAACTCAATCTCGAGCACTTCGAGGACTATCGTATTGGTGAGTAACTGCCGTCAACGCAAACAGCGACAGTTGTTTTTAACTACTTTTTCCTTGGCAGCGCCTCTGCCCAAACTGCGCAGCACGTCGATTGCACGCAGCAGCCGTCTACGCACACCGCAGCCTCAGCAAACGCCGGCGACACGCCTCCAGATACAATCCGTAGATCGGGCAGTGCTACGACGCGCCGAATTACCAACTATGGCGCTGCTGCGCTGGCCCAAGCCCGGCGAGTTGGCTCTCTCGACTGGCGGCAGTCCGCTCGCCGTGCAAACGTAGGAATAAAACGTGGCAAATTCCACATTTATCTCAACTCACCTTAGCTTCCACTGCAGCTTTCCAGATCGCTGTGCAAACGTTCACATACCCACCAAGGCGGGCGTGCTGAAGCTGAAGCCCCAAAAGCTGTCGGAGGTGAAGCGTGAGGTGCTCAAGCAGCTGGACTCGACTACTCTCAATCAGATCAAAACGCTCAACTCCAATCTGCACATGATTGTGGACATGGCCACCAAGCTGGGCAAATTCTAAGCGCAATTCATCGTCTTCATCTTATTTCATTAATATTTTATTTAGTCTTTTTCATTTTCTCATTTTCAATGTTTTTTGTTTTTTGTTTTCAAACATTAAGTGTACGTGTTGTTGATGTTGCCTGTGTTGCTGTTGCTGTTCTTGTTGTTGTTGCAATTTGAGTGTATATTTAATTTATAATTAATAAATTTAAGTATTAATAGATTTGTAAGTACAAACATAAACGTAGCGCACATAATATTAATTCTTAGTGTTTTTTCTTTTTCATGTAAATTCATTTTGTTTGAATTTTGTAAATTCCAAATTTTCGCTTACACGAAATACCATTTACACATGTACAATTATTTATTAATTAATTACTTAAAAAATTAATGCCATTAAGTTTAGTTTTTTTTTGTTATTTTCTTTTCTTTTTGCATAACAAATGTTTTTTGTGAAAATTGTTTTTAATTATTTTTCGCTTGTGAAACTTTCTATATAATATGCAACTGTGTGTGGGTGTATGTGAGAGTTTGTATATATATATATATATATATATATATATATATATATATATATTTATGTGTGTGTGTGTGTTTATGTGTTTAGTACATAGAAATACAATACATAGCAAAAAGGTACATAGACTTATATAAAATATGTCTGAATTATTATTACATAATTAGTTTTGTTTATCTTTTAAAGTGAGAGAGAGAAAGACAACATATAAACAGTGACCAGTGACAAGTGACAAGTGACAGTGAACGAACAGTGACAAGTGACAATAACACAAATATAACATTCAACATCGATGTGGCTTGCATTTGGTTTTTAACTCTTCCTTTCTTTCTTTTTTTGGTTGTATTTCAAAGACAAAGAAAAAATATAAAATATAACTTAACATAGGGAAAGTGAATATATATAATAGATATATATATATACATATATGTATGTATGTGCCTAACATGTTAATACTTAGTGTATAGATGCATATGTAGATGATTTGAACTAAAGTTTGCTCGAAATAAAAACTGATTTCATTCCCATGTACGTATACATATATATATAGCGAAAACTAGCCTAACGTAAATCAGTTAACTTGATCTCTAACTACTCTAAGCCCACAATCTCGACACTTACCACAAAATCTGCTTTCCTGTTCGGACTACATATATATATATATTTCCGTTTCTTTTTCTTTTTGCCTTCAGTTTTTCCTTTTACTTTTTTTTCTTTCTTTTAACACAGCCAATCAACAATAGATCCTCCCAGCTTTTCCGATACAAAATCTATATATATATATATATATATATATATATATATATATATATATATATATATATATATATACATACATATATAGCAGCAGAAATAATAAATATTAACTGATTAATTCAATCGCAGGTGTGTTGCTCTAATGTTTACCTTGACTGTTGCCAGTGTGTGTCTAAGTGTGTGTGTGTGAGTTTATAATGTTGTATATAAATTTCTAATCTTGTATTTGAAAGTATTTGCGGTTATTCATGAATTTCTTGTTCTTGTTCTCTTCGTTTATACAAAATTGTGCTATAATTTGTTTGTATTTTTTTTTCACTATTTTTCATTTGTTAAAAACTATTTAGGCTGTTGCTTTAGAATTCGTTATAACGTTGTTTAAATGCTAATATTTTTTTTTTTTGTTATATATATATATATTTTTTTGTTTGCTTTGTATTAGTTGTTGTTTTTGGGCACTACTTATTACGGTTCAGGGCTTCATTTTGTAATTATAATAAATAGTTTTTTTTATATATTTTTTAATATATTTTCTTTTAACAATTTGTGGTTGTTTGTAGGCTGATGCACGGGTACAGGGCGTTGCATTTTGTATTTGTTGTTATTTAATAATTTATTTTTTTTTTACTTTTTTAATTTGGTACAAATTTATGGTACTAGGTTGCAAAAGGAGAGTAAAACTATATATATACAGATCTAAAAAAAATATATAGTTAATAAACGAAATGGAATTGTTAAAAAGTTCAATGCATATTTACAATTAATTTAATTAACTTATTTATAGATGTGCTTGTAACTTATTTTAATATATATATATAGTTATGTATCAAAATGGAAATTGTGAAACTTTTACTTTTTTGCTGTATAATTCGTAGCTAGCTTTAGATGTTTTAATATATTTATGAAATTAATTTTTGTTATGCATATGAAAGTTTTTTTTTTTTTTGTAAATATTTTTTTGCTCAATATATATATATATATATTTATTCATATATATATTGTTGTATGTATAACTATTTTAGTAATTTAATATATATAATTTTGTATGCTTATAAATTAATTAATTTCATTAAATGCTTAAATTCATTAATGCACTTTATATGTACTTTTGTGTATGTGTGTGTATGTGTGTGAAATTTGCTATAATCGTTTGCCAAGTCACTTAACTATATAAATATATGTGTATATACGTATGCAATTATTACTAACTTGCATTATTCAAACCTATACTAAATGCAGTATACTCTTGTATATATATTTTATATATATATATTTATTTCATGTTCATCTGTTTGAGGTCTTATTTGAGTATAAATAAAATCTGGGATGAAAACCGAAAGCATTCAATTACCAATAAACCCTTGCTGAAAGTATTAGATAATATGGCCATAAACTAGACACCATAACATCCATCCATAGAGAAGTTCGACAGAGGCTCGTGGATTAAATTGTTTAAGTAAGATATAGACATAGAATAAAACACTTAATTTAATTGAATTAAATAACAGCAAGGGTATAAATATATACATATATTTAAATACATATATATATATATATATATATATATATATATATATATATATATATATATATATATATATATATATATATATATATATCTAGCACTTCTTTAATTTAATTGCATTAAATGTAGCCTCTTAAAGTAACTGAAATTTAACTAATTATTCACTTAACTTAAACTTTTAAATTGTATATGAAATTTTATGTATATATATTATTATTTTATAATATATGTACAAATAATCATTTATATTAATATTATTTTAATATGCCTTACTTGCTTTTTAATTATTAATTTATGTATAAATTTGTATGCTTATTATAGGTTTTCCTTTTTTGAACTTAACGAGAGGTATTTCTATTTTCCCAAGTGTTTAATATCGCCTTTTGTGTATACACATTTTTCTTTTATTTTATATAATTTTGTATTACTTATCGTTGTTGTAGTTGTGGTTGTTGTTGTTGTTGTTGTTTTCTCAGCATCATAATTTGTTAAATGAAAATAATAATAAAAATATATATAAATAAATGCACGTTTACCATATTTTTGTTTTCTTTTTTTATTTTTATATATTGTATATAAATTTTTATTTAGGATTTGTTGCATTTTAAACATATTTAATAAAATTAAAAAAACTATAATTAATATATATATATATTTATTTATATGTATATATATACATATATATATATATATATATATATAGATATATATATTTATATATATATATATATATACATATATATATATATATGTGTGTGTATATATCATAATTTTGTATAGCTTTTGTTTTTTTTTGTTGTTTTAAAATAATGTTTATAACGATTGAACCCAACTACAGTTTAAAGATTACAGAAAATCAAAAATCAATAATAAAAATAATTATACAATAAAAAATTGAGAAGCTAACAACGTTCTCGCGACAAAGTTGAAGAAATTGTGATATGCTACATAATATGTAAAGAATATGATAATAATATAATATGTAAAGAAATATTGTATGTTATCGTTAAAACGTTTGTTACAAATTAGTTTAAACAAAAACCTGTAAAATAGCCTTCACATTGAATCGCCACGCCGACTTTTGTGCAGTGCGAGCGCGCTCTTCTAACTGCTTGTTAAAAAATACAAATTAATTAATTAATTAACTAAATTATCAATTACAATTTCGTAAATAATATATGCATATATATATATATCGTATATGTGTATAATAGTGAAAAATATATGTACAATTACAGCTACACGAGTAGAGTGCAGCCCAAAATCAAATAGCATAACAAATATACATACATACATACATACAGACATATAACTAAATGTTGTTGTTGTTCAGAAAATTGATTTAATATGCCAAATAGTTGTTGCCCATAAAGAAATGATATCGGGTGTATGTATATATAAAGTATAGAAAACATTTGGAAATAGAATAGAACAAAAATCATATAGAATGTTGTCTGTCGTGGACATGTTCTATAGCAACAAACATAAGCAACATTAGTATATTATAAGATTTAACAAATTATCACACTGAAAAAATTCAACACTAACTTTAAATATAAGTATACACACACATATATATAAAATAATTCATATATATATGAGTGTGTCTACATATGCATAAATGTGTGTGTTTTATATGCTTAAATAGTTCGTTCAAATTGTATACTTTTATCATGTTTGTTAATTATTTTAGTTAATCGTAACACTAATGCCGTTATAATTTAAAGCCGATCTCGCTTGTATTGTATATACGTATACATATACATATATAATTATATATCTTTAGTGTTACACTTATATCCATAATAAACAACAGCTTGAAACGTTGCGCCATGCAGTTATCTATATATAAATATATATGTGTGTATATATATACATATATATATATACATATATGTTGTGATTTTTGTATATATAGCATCTTAGCCTAAATTTTATGTTTAAACGTAATAAATATGTTTTTTTTTTGTTTTTTTTTCTCTTGTATAATTTTTAGCAGCTTTTCAAAATATTTAACTATAGCTTGTTATTTATTTTATACATATTTTGTTGTTGCTATTTTCCTTTTTTAGACGAGGTTCCCATTTTTTCTTTGTTATGCATTACAATTAATATTTGCTAGTGTTAATAATAAATATATATTTAATATATTTAAATATATTTTAACGTTTTGGCTTATCGTATAGTGCAGCTAATATAATTTAAATTTAACATTTACACATTCCTAGACGTTCGTTCGCTTTTGTTTAAACTTTTTTGCAAGCCTTGTGAAATGCTGCGACTTTCATTTCATTTAATTTAGTTTATTTATTTTGTTTTCTTTTCTTTTTTCTTTTTCTTTTAAAGGAAAAACGTTCTGAGAGCCTTAAATGCGTTTGAAGAACATAAATTGTTGCTGTTGTTGTGGTTGTTATTTAGAAGTTGTTGTTGTTGTTGTTCTTGAGTCCTTGAAGCGTTGCTTAGGCGCCTTAGGGTCACCTCGATGCGCTGGTCGTGAAAAAGTCCGCTGTGTGGAGTTGAAGAAACAAACTCAATTGAAATTCGGAACGTGATTATATATATAAATATATTTGACACTCACGCGTCTCGAAACTGAAGCCCAGCGTTGGATCTGGCGGCGTGTTGAGCATTGGATTGCCGCTGCTGCCGCTGCCTGTGGGCGTGGCATTGCCCATGGAATTTGTACTATTGCCGCTGCCGCCACCGCCTCCAATCATTGGTCCCTGCTGCAACGGACTCTGCGGCGTCTGACCCCGCTGTGCCACGCCAGCGCCGCCCACGCCCACGCCCACACCGACGCCGCCACCCGTCGCAGCCGCCGCCGCCTGATGGGCGCGCACGCTGACAACGGCGCGCAGCTCCTGCTTGACAAAGTCCGAATTGACATTGCCACCAGCCACGCCTCCACCGCCGCCGCCTCCATTGCCCGCTGCAAGAATTGAAGAAATTTATAGAATTAGACTAGATTTCCGAGGGCAAAACCAATGCGCATATTTGGACCCACAACAAAAAAGATTTTTAGTCACAATTATTGTTGAACTTAACTAGACATAGAACATAAATAAATACACAACAGACAACGGAATACAACATATATATAGATATACATAAAACATAAAAGTTGTACATAAGATATAAATAATAAAAAATTATATTAAATAATATGCGACACACTTAAATGTGGGGACTGGCTGGGGGGGTTAGGGTTGCAAATAAGGAATGTACAGATATATATATATATATATATATATATATATATATATATATATATAGTATATAGTACATATATGATATATACTTATATATACTAGATATACATATACTTTGTGGTATCTTTAATTTCTTAAGTGAACATAAAATTTTAAATATTTATGAGCTATTCAGTTTAGCTTTTTGATATTGATGTTTTAATTAATTTTTTTACATTGAAAATTAAAAAAAACTATATTAATGTATTCAGATTTCGGCTAGTATCAGAATATAAATATTTGTTTTTTTTTTTTATATAAATTACATACAGTTGTGTTCATTAAAATAGTAGTGCTTTTCTGTCTTGTTTAGTAGAGACAACTATTTTCATAAAGTACCAAATCGCTTTGTTAATTAATTTTAAATTAATTATATAAATTTAAATTACTAAAAAAATTTGCTTAATCTTTATATTCGTTTAAAATTGCTTTCGCAATATTGGGTTTACCACTAAATTGTGTCGTCCAACATTTAGTGCTCAGTTGCACTACTATTTTTATGAACACAACTGTATCTAATTTTGTTGTTAAAAACAAACATTTGTTAATGACATTTGAATAAAATATAAATAATTAAATACAAATTATGAAAATAGTACAATTTATATAATATGCCTAACTGCTTATCCAATCATTTCATTTCGTTTCGTTTTAATTTGAAAAACTTTTTTAAAATTTAAAAGCATTTTTAAATTATATTGCTTAACTGAATTACTCATTGATATATATATATATATATATATATATATATATATATATATATATATATATATATATATATATATATATATCTACATATATATATATAACCAAAGTTAAAAGTAAACATAAACAATTTATATATATAACAATAAATAAATACATACTTTCCCCATTTGTTATAAATTTAAATACTTTCGACTTGGCTTTTGGGTTTTCTGGCTAAATCTAAAGTCTTTACACGGAGGGTTAATACAGTGGGGTGCAGCGCCTAAGAACTAACCGTTAAATATATATACAAATATATGCCTAGGTTATATACAAAGATCACATATATAATATATATTTATATGTGTGTGTGTAGCACAGTTATACAAATACACTTAGATGTGGTTAGATGTTGTGTTCGAGGAGCCCAAGGATATTTTTCATGTTTTTCTTTTTAGTTTTTTATGTACAAAAATGTGTGTATGCGAGTGTGTATGTGTGTGTGTGAGTGTGTGTGTGTGTGGATTGTTGATCGAGTGCTAAGGGATTTCGCTTATTTATATACACAATGATTAGCTCGAATTTCGTATTATATATACATATAGATAGTTTCATATGTATGCATGACATGAGATTACAGCGAGCGAGCGAGCGAGCAGAGCGAGATATATATATATAGAGTGTGTGTGTGTGAGAGAGAGAGAGAGAGAGTTCAAGTGTGAGCACACGGCTTACCGGTCTGCGCTCGACCATAGAAATCATTCGCCTGCTGCGCCTGACCGTAGGCAGCGAGCGCTGCATAACCACCGCCGCCGCCGCCGCTGCCGCCGCCACCACCCAGCCCAATGATGCCGTTGCCACCGCCACTGCCCATCCCGCCCACGCCCATCATGGCCGGATGGGGGGACATGTTCAATCCGTTCATCAGCTGTTGCTGATGCTGTTGCTGTTGCTGCTGGTGTTGGTGTTGCTGTTGCTGTTGACTAGCGGCGGCAGCCGCATTATCATTATGGTTGTTGTGGTTGCTGCTGTTGTTGTTGCCACTGTTGTTGTTGTTGTTGTGGTTGTTGCCTGGCGACAAACCGAAACGCGTTGAGCCTGTTTCGGTTAAGCGTTTGATTTGTTTGGCTTTGGTTAAAAACTAGTCAAATATTAACAATGTGTGTGTGTATGTGTGTGTATGTGAAACGGTGTTGGTATGCGTGTGTGTGTGTGTGTTTGAGGTGTGAAGCTCTTTATGTATTGATATTTAGTACAGTAATTAGGGCAAGCGGCATTTTGTGAACTGGTTCACGCTGCATTGTGATCTAATTTGTTGTTGTGATTTGGACGCGTCATAAGATTACAATTTTATAGATCTGGAACTAGTTCCTTTTTAAAGTGGAACTAGTTCCTTTTTAAAGAGGAACTAGTTCATTTATATTGTTGCGCTCTTTAACTTTGACAAGTGTATTTAATTGTGTGTATTTTCGGAACTAGTTTTAATCTTAAATTATGTGAACTAGTTCATCTTACATAATTACATTTCTCAACGCATTTGAAACTAGTTTTATGAAAGTAATTAATTGCGGTCAAATGAAACTAGTTCCAGCAATGTGTGAAACTAGTTCCAAAGCTAAACGCATTTTAAAGTTTTCAATAATTTTTTAAGAAATTAAAAAATATCAAAGAGCTTAAGTATTCCACATTTGAACTAGCTTCGACAGAGCTAGAGTTTTTGGTTTCACCTAAAAATGTGCCTAGCAGAAATGAACTAGTTGACATTGGCTAGTTCCGCCTACATTTGCATTTGCTTGCAGTGGAAAAACCTTTCAACTAAATTTCAGTTGGGTAGACTTCAGGGGCACAGGGTGAAGATCAGCTAAGACTAAGCCTACGTCTTGAAGACACGCCTCATCTGCTGTGCAGACTCCGCCACAGGACTCCACGCTCCGCACACGACGTGCTGCACTCACCTGGCAAATGCTGTGTTGCTTGTGGCACGCTGCCCTGCCGCTGCAGGCGTTGCAACTGCTGCTGCTGGAACACATTGGTCGCCGCACTGTTACCGTAGGGCGATTGAGGGCCGCCGCCAAAACTTAGACCCACGCCCGGTCCGCTGCTGCCATCGGCCGTGGATGCACCGCCGCCGCCCTGAGCCTGGAAGGAGTTTTGCCGCTGCAATGCTGCCGCCGCCGCTGCTGCTGCACTGCTGCCAACTGGTCCAACGGCGCCGGGGGAGTTGAGGCCGCGGCGCTGCTGGCTCTGCTGCTGCTGCTGCTGCTGCTGATACTGACGCGCAGGATAGTTGCTCTGCATATCACGAAAGGACATTAGTGGTGCTTCATTGGGCAGTGCGAATTCTTTGCTACTCACCTGCAGCTGCGCAATGAGCAAGGGATTATTGTGCTGCTGCAGTGAGCGTCCAGCATTGCCCGCTGGCAGCGGTCCACCCGGTCCGCCGACAGCACCACTGCCTGCACCGCCGGGCCCGGAATTGCCGCCAGCCGCGGACCACTGCTGCGGACTGTTCTGCATGCCAGGTGACTGCAGGCCGGAGCCACTGCCAAACGGCGTATTGGAACGTCCACCATCACCCGCCTGCTGCTGCTGCTGCTGCTGCTGTTGCTGTTGCAGGTAGGCCAACTGCTGCTGCTGCTGCGTTGTCTGTTGCTGCTGCGGCGACAAACGCTGCGCATTTTGAGCGAACTGCGCCGCATAGACTGCAAAGAAAGGTATCAGTATTTAGAATGCATAAACTCTCGTTGCATGCCAACCTTGATTTGGCTGCGGACTGAAGGGCGCACTGCGTCCAGGGCTGAGCTGCTGCTGCATTAAGGTCTGCGCAAAGTTTGGACTCAGTTGAGCATCCGCCGGTAGATTGGTTCTGGAGAGCGACACATTCGGCGCCACAGTGGTGTTCAGCAGCGAGCCAATGTTGTTGATGCCCGCATTGATGCCAGCTGCAAGAGAGACAAAAGATATTTGAGTATTTGAAGTTGAGGATTCAATGGACGTTGGCTCGGCTCATATTGTGATCTACTCACTGGCATTTTCGGGCACCAGCAGCTGTTGGTTTTGCTGCTGCTGCAGCAGTCGCTCTTTTTGCTGCTGCTGGCGTATGTTGCGCATCTGCTGATTGGGCAGCACAACGCCGCCGCCGGGCGTGGCAACCGCATTCATGGGACCGCGACCACGCACCGGATACATGGGCGGCGGACGTTGAAAGCCCTGATTGCGCATAGTATCCAATAGCTGTTGCTGACGCATCAATTGCTGCTGCTGCTGCTGCTGTTGTTGGGTTTGTTGCTGTGGTTGATGTTGCTGCTGCTGCTGCTGTTGTTGCTGCTGTTGATGCAGCACCAACATGCTTGGATAGGCTGGCGGCTGTAAATGCTGCTGACGTTGCTGCTGTTGCTGTTGCTGCTGCTGTTGCTGCTGTTGCTGTTGCTGCTGCTGTTGCTGCTGTTGCGGTAGCAGCAAATGCTGCTGCTGCTGCTGTGACATGAGCAAATGCTTGTTGATGACGCCAAAGTTGGATATTTCCACATCGAGCATCAGCGACTTTTGTATATCGCTGATGGCCGAAGCCTCTGAGGGAGCCGTGGGCACAATAGGCCTATCATCCATATCGTCCATGGCATCCATAACGCTGTCCAGCAGCTTGGACAGCTCCGGATCGGGTATTGAGGTAGTTGCTGTGGTCGCCAGTTGCTGCTGCAGTTGCTGTTGCTGTTGCTGCTGCTGTTGCTGCTGCTGCTGCTGCTGCTGCTGGTATGCCAGCTGCTGCTGCTGCTGCTGGCTGAGGTAGACATCGTTTTGCTGTGGTGTTGACTGTTGCTGCTGATGTTGTAGGTGGTGTTGTTGCTGCTGCTGTTGTTGTTGTTGCTGCTGTTGCTGTTGTTGTTGCTGCTGCTGCTGTTGCTGCTGATGTTGCTGTTGCTGCTGGAGCTGCTGCTGCTGCTTGCGCACACGACTATTCGCTGCTGCCGCTTTAGGCCCCGTGCTGCCTGCGCTAATTAGATTGCCCGGGGCAGCGAGCGAACTGCTCACGTTGTTCACCGTGGAGCTGGTGATGTCCGGCAACGTTTTCACCTGCAGCGGCTGTTCCGGATTTGGTGCCTTGGGCAACTTCGGCGGATTCTGCAGCAGTTTCGCAAGCATTTTGTTTTGGCTGCACAGCTTGCTGGGCTTGTCCTCGGAGCGCTTGGCCGAGATGTCGTCGTCGGGCTCGTTGAGGGAACGCTTGCGGCTCATGGCCGGATCACTTTGGATTTTGAGCATGCGCTTGAGATCCTCGTTGCTCATATTGCCGCCACCGCCGGCGCCGCTGCCGCCGAGCATGCCATGCCCGGTGCCATGGCTGCCGCCATCATCCTTCTGCAGTTGACGCATCAGTTCGCTCTGGCGCGCATTACTGAGCACGCCGGAACCACCCGAGCCCGTTCCACTGCTGCCGTCATCCTCTTCGCTCTTCTCGTTCAACAGCTGCAACAAGTAAAGCAATTAGTTATGAGCTAAATACAGTTATTTACCATATTTGGACTCACCTTGAGCAGCATGGGATTTTGGGAGTTGCCCGCCTTCTGCAGCAACGTTGCATTCGGGCCAACACGTCCCAGCGAGCCAAACATGCCCAGCTGACTCGTCTGGGCGCCCATTTTGTAGCCACCCGCTGGACCAGCAACTGGGCCCACGTTCAGCTTCTCATCCTCGACGCACTCTTGCTTAAAGTACTGCAAGATGAGCGATAGAAAAATTGAGTTTAATGAACTAGTTCAATGAACTGCTTAATTATATTTGAATTTGTCTCAGTTTGAACTGAGTCGAGGCAAAGAAATTTATTCAGCTTTGTGGTGCTACAAATTATTTGGTCGGAACTAGTTCAAAAACAATTTGAGAAAGAACTAGTTAAAGTTTATGATTTTAAGGAAAATCAATAAATGAAACCTTTAGGCACTACATCAAATGGAACTAGTTTATACAGGCTTTTTAACATACGATTTTTCTTGTTCTTTTGAGCGGAAACTTGAAAATTTGTCGTTTATGGTTAAAGAAAACTCAGCTAAGTATGATCCACAGTAAAGAACTATGACTAAAACCTCTTTATCAAAAAATCTATTTAAGTTTCTTTAGCTCACTTTTTAATTATTATTTAATTATATTTATTTAATTATATTAAATTAAAGTTTAAGCTAGGATTAGAATTGTTCCCCATTTTGTAATATTTCTCCAAAATTTTGCATTTAGTTAGCTTCTTCAGCATTTCCTTACTTGTTTAAGATCATTTTAAGATCTGTTAGCAACTTTAGTTGGGAGTCACTTATGGATTTTGAATGTTTTGAAATACTTCATTGATTTTATTATTTTAATCGAAGTGCTCGTTCCCTCAATGTTCATGTTGGCTAATCGCACCTAACAGCTGGTTCATTAAAAATGAACCAGTCAATAAAAACTCGCCTCAATGATCGAATGCCAATTATTAGTGTTTGAAATTCAATGAATAACTGATTAGGGACTCACCTTTTCCTCGTCGCCAAGGCCACCGCCGCCTAGGCCACTGGCCATGCTCTGTGATTTGGTCAGCAGATGACGCAGTCGCTCCGATGATTCCTGCAGCGGAAGCGCCTGCTGTTGTTGTTGTTGTTGTTGCTGCTGCTGCTGTTGCTGTTGTTGTTGCTGCTGCTGTTGGCTGAGCAGCAGGCCACCAACGCCATTTGGCAGGCCGCCGCCGCCGCCTATAAGCGCATTGCTGTTGCTGCTGGCATTGCTGTTGTTGTTGCCTTGTTGCTGTTGCTCTTTGTCCGGTTTGGTGTCCGCCGGATCGTAGGAGTGAAAATTGAAACCATAACTGCCGCCGGCTCCAGCGCTCGCATTCGATTGCGGCGAGGGCAAACTGGCTGCCGAATGTGACGACAATTGATAGGGCGTGGCTGGCGAGGCACATACAGCCGGACTGAAGCCATGCCCCGAGGGCGGACGCGGCGTACTCACGGGCGTTGCAACGGATGCCCGTGAATTGGGACGCGAATCGGACCAGCCGCCCACCCCACCGCTGGGATCCATGTCGAACGAGGAATGTGCAATATCAAACTCAAACGCGTCGCTGCCATAAAACGAATGCTCCCCGGGCGCCGGCGAAGCGGTGAATGCATTCACCAACGTGGCCGCCGAGGAGTTGGCCGAGGAGCCGCTCGCATTGCTCAGACGCTGCTGTATGCCGCTGCCGTTGATAATGGCCGAACTCATGAGCGGCCCGCCCACATTGGTGGTCTGTGTGCTGCCGCTGTTGTTGCCAGTGTTGTTGCTGCTGCTGCTGCTGCTGTTGTTGTTGTTGTTGTTGTGCTGTCCACCGCCAACAAGGCCACCTAACAGATTCGTAGGCAACAACGCAGACGCCGCTGAGGATGTGGAGGAGCTATGCCCCAGCGCTTCCATCGAGAGCGTATTGACCAGCGAGCTGGGCAGCGAGGCGCCCGGCGACATGACGCACATTTGACTCAGGCCCAAACCACTTGTCACACCGCTGCCAATTCCACCTGCACCACCAACACCGCTGGCACCCGTATTGCTGCTATTCATGTCGTTCTCCGAATTGAGCAGCGTCTGCACGGACATTATGAAGTCACTCTCGCCCGGCGTCTGGTTGAGGAACAGTCTCGAATTGGCCTTCACATGGACATAGACATCGGGCGCACCGAGGCGCAAGCGAAATGGACGTGATATAACATTCGATATGGAGCCAGCGCTGGTGGGGCCACCGCCGGAGCTGCCCGGAGAATGCACCGCTGTTGAGTCTTGTATATCGCGCAAATGCGACTTGAGCGTCGACAGATCATGCGGATGGCATAGGTCCTGCCAAAGGCGGCCCACCCACGACTGCAGATGCTGTTTGAATGGCTCACGCAGCGCCGTCGCATCCAGGCTGAGTATTATCCCATGCCCGTCCAGCTTGAATGTCATCTGCTCGATGGGCTGCTGATGCACATGTTGCTGCATATTGATCTCCAGCGGCGACTCATCCTCCGGCCTGGTGATCAGGCACAGCACAGAGCTGCTCGCATCGGCGTCATCTGCAAACGACAAAACTTTAGTCCAAATCACACTAGAAGCACGAATCAAAACACATTTCTATGCTTTTAACTCAAATCACTTTGAAGATCACTTTATTGCGGTTTTCTACTTGTGCTAGTAAAATTTTTATAGATTTCCCTAACACTGACTACTCGTGGTTAAGGTTTAGCCAGCAGATCTGAAAAACTTAGCTCACTATATTCAAGATTTTTACTTCTCTTTGCCATGTCTAAAACTTTTTAGATCAGTTCAAGATTTAAGAAGACTTTTTTCTTGTACAATTTGGACTGCAGTTGGGAATATATATATATATATATATATTTTTTTTTTATATATATCCTCATCTCTCTATACCTTTCTATACTTCAAATGCCTTCCTAAATAATCTTGAATCAAATTCTTATATAATTTTCTCACTTTTCCTCATTCCGTTTACACTTAAGAGTATTAGATAAAGTGAATAATTTAGATGAAATTTACTTAATTAGATGAAGTAAATAATTTTATCTCATTCTTATTTGGTTTTATATTAAATAAATTATTTTTTCCCATATCCACAACTTATTTTCCTATTTTATTTAATTTTTTTTAATTTAAATTCATAATTATTCGAATTATTCCTTTGTTCGTTCTGCAATTTCTTTTTAGTTAATCTAACTACGAAAATCTTGAATTTCTCGCATCTTCAAAATTATTTCAATTAAAAGTAAACCCAAGCCTAGACTTGCCACAGTTCTTGGACTCACCCTTCACTGGCGCCGCTATCAATACGACCTCTTCATACTTGTCCTGATGTCCGGACTGCCTGAGCGGCTTCTGGTCCATGGCATCGCAGTTTGAGGAGGTCTGTGTGGCCGGTCGTGTGTCCTTGACTAGCATGCGCACCTTGGTGGAGATGCTGCGCTTGGATTTGGATGCTCCACCAATGGGTCCCGGTGCACCGGGCGCGCCGTTGCCAGCGCTGGAACTGGAATTGGAACCAGCCGATTGCTGCGAGGCATTGCCGTTGTTCAGCTCATCGAGATCACCCCAGCCGCCAATTGAGCCGCCACTGGCTCCTCCTCCACCTCCTCCTCCGCCGCCTCCGCTGCCACTGCTACTGCTGTACATGTTGTTTATGATCGGCTCCAGTTTGGCGTGATCCCCCGCATAGAGGTATCTGTAGAGCGGCTGGTGGAAGAGCTCCTGCTTCTCATAGCCGATCAGTTCGCGTATGTTCTGCGTGCAGGACTCAATGATGCCGTTAGCGTTCACCTGCAGCAGCACCCAGCCCACAGAGCTAATATAGTGCTCGAGTGCTTCGAAGTAAGCGGATATTTCAGGCACTTGGCCGTTCAGCAGCGATGGCTCTGGCAATGGTGGCTCCGTTGATGAGACTTCACCCTGTTGCACAGGGTGTATCGAGCAGTTATCGGTGGCGCAGCGTGTGCAGCGCGTTGAGGTTGCTTGTGGTTTGTGGCTGTTGTTGTTGTTGTTATTATTGTTATTATTATTGTTATTATTATTATTATTATTGTTGTTGTTGGTCGTTGTTGTGGAGTTGTTGTTATTATTATTATTATTGGTAGATGTTGAGGATATATCACGGCTTTGGCCTTTGTCACAAATATCACGATACTGTAAATTATGATATGAGAAAACAATATGAATTAAACCTGTTTTTAAAATAATTTAATTGACTTAAAAAATTAATTATTAAAATGTCGATCAAAGGTTATGAAATTATAATCCACAAAAATATTCAAATTATCTTAAAGTATTTGTAATATAATATATTTATAATTCTTTTCTCTTTTTTTTTTTTGTATAAAGATGTTTTTTTAATAATTTATTTATACTGACTTTTGTTGTGCAACATTTTGTGTCGCATCACGCTACTAATTTCTTGAACACAGCTGTAAATATATTTGTTCATAAATATATCCATATGAAGTTTACGTTTCATTAATTGTACTAATATATATCTAACAAACATCTATTAAAAATATATATTTTTTATTCATATTTTCATTTAATGCACATTCACTTAACGCGCTTGCAACTCTATTTCCAAAAAATGTTTACCATGCGGAAGTATTTTCGACAAAGCTCATTTTATGTATTACAGCAAAAACGAAACACGAGAAAAAACAACAACGGAACAGCAATACAATAACAAAACTGAGCTACACTCGAAATAATTATTATAGCCTGCTTCACGATCAACATCAGTTGATCACTTGCTGTTGTTTTTGTTTTCGCAAAGCTTTTTCGCGAGTTGTAGAAAAAGAGAGACAAAAGCTCGTGTCGGTCATCGTGCGTCGGCGTCGCGCTCACAGTGTGTGTTTACACAATAAAGTGCAATAAACCGCATTTCATCTCATTTCTTCGCTGTGCAAGTGTGTGCTTATAGATGTGTATGTGTGTTATATTTTTACTCCGCCACGCAAATTTTGCGCGCGCGTTTGAGCTTTGAGTCATTGACACAGGCAAATACCCACAGACACGCACACACATACACATGCCCGAATGCACGCACAGCATAATCACAACAAAAGTCAAGAAGAGAACTTCCAATGGAAGTACAATCACTTTTTTTATTGTTTGATTTGAAAAGTCTTAAGACGCAGTATGAACGCACAAAATTTCACAATTTTCACAGCCCACTCAAGGTCAATCAACTTAAGGAGCTCGTGTCAATGGCTCTCATTCACTCACTCACTTTTCTCTTATTGCATTTATATTTACATATGCAAGTAAATAAAATAGTTTAGATCTAGTGCAGAATTACTCACTATCAAAATTGCTAACGAGAAAACAAAAGCAATTAAAAATCACAGAAACGTTGCGCACACTCAGCTCTGTCACAAAGTTGCCGAAATACTAAACACACATTTTTTGATGCAATTGTATTATTGTATTAAAAAAAAAATAAAAAAGAAGAAGAAACCCGAAAACACGGCGAAAAATACGAATACAACAACAAAGAAAGGCAAAAGCTGACGAAGCGCTGCTCTCTATTTGACGCTCTCACGCTGTGTGTTGCTATTGTTGTTGCTTTTGCTCTCCAGCCATTTGTTTACCGGCTCACGTGTGATACATATAAATGCGTAAATGTGTTTGTTTGACAGTGTCAGTCTATGTGTGCGCGTGTGCGTGTGTGTTTTGTTATCACCCATTGCCTTTGCACCTTGTGTGAGAGGGCGGCAAAGGAGCTGGCGCTGCCACTGCTGCTGTTGTTGCTATTTTAGCTTCTGTTACTGTTGCACACAAATAAATAATACCAAAATAATATTTATATGAAATTTCGAAGTGCGACGTCATCGCCAAAAAACAAACGCAGTTCGTTGATCTGCCAGTGCAATCGCGCAGAGCGCAGAGCGAGCTTTTACTTCTTTTTGTTTGGAAGGAAGCTCGCATCTGTGTCAGTGAGTACAATTGAGAAAGCGCGCGCGTATTTGTGTGCGTGTATGTAGGTATGTGCGCCAGCCAACCAGGAAAAGTTGCTCAAGCAACGGGCAACACAACAAATTCTTTTTTTTTTTTTTGGGTGAAGGCACTCCGAAAATATCAGTCAAATGATAAAATAAACAACAACACAAACCGGGGCATGCAATGACGAATATGTCTAAAACGTGTCTGGACTTTTTGTTCTTTATATGCATGTGTGTGCGAGTATGTATGTTTTTTTTGCGGGCTTTGGCCTGTAGCTTCAATTGATCGCATCAGGTAATGTGCGAATTTTGAGAGAGCTTCAAAAAAAAACGCAGATGCAAAGCAAAGCAAAGCAGACAGCAACAAAAAAGCTTGCCAAAAGCAAAAACAGATCCCTGCACAATAAAAAAAGGGGTAAATACCATCTGCGTATGGAAAAACAATAAGCAGCTCGTTTTCATAACAAAGGAATGGATGAATTGCCACAGCGCTAGCAATCTGAAATTAATGAACATCCATCTTTTCCTTAACGATAGACTCTCAACTAAGTTTTAATATTGAGAAAGTAAATAAAGTTTAGCTCACTTTTAAGTGCTCTTAGCTTAAATGGCCTATTACTACTTGAATTACATATGCTTTCGAGCAAGTTCTAGTTAAATCGTAGCTGAGGCATTGGAGTTGCCAAAAAAAAAATAGAATTGTGTCTGTCGCTCACACACTTACACTCTCGCACTCGCACTCACATTTACGTTCACTCACTCTCCCATTTACGGTCTTTCACTCTGAGCAGCTGAGTGAAAATGCCTCGCTGAGTGACAGCAGCGACAATTCAATTGACTAAGCCAGGCGCAAGCAATGCTTCCAGCTTTCCATGCGCTACTGAGTCGAACTTAAGCCGTTGGAATAATGGCGAATTAGGCGAACAAAACAGAAAAGCAACTGAGACTTGAGGTCGACATTTAAATACCTAAGAATATGCAATGGCTTTTTCGAAAGACAGTTGAAAAGATAGTTCAAAAACTGTGAAGGTTAATGCTTAAAATTTCAATTAAAATATTTATGCAATAGGAGTTTAAAGAAAAATGCCTGAAATATTGTAATCTACTTGGTAAATATTTTATAATAAATATTTGTTTGACTAAAAGCTTTGCTGCCTAATTGTGTTAAAATTATATTCATAATCGCTTAACTAAATTAATATAATAATATTTATTCAGCTGGCTCCCTTCATAATTTCAAATTACTAACGCAACGCATCGCTTCCTCATCAGCTCGGCATTTAATTGAATTTATTTATTATTAATTTGTCACTCTGTATAGAGAATACCCCTAATGGAGAGCCGTATACTAACCCTTATTAATTGTATTAACTTGTGTTTAGCTCACAAGCTGCACAGTTGAATAAAATGATTATGTATTATGTATTTTGTTTTTACTTTGTTTTTGTTGTTGTTTTTTGTGTTTAATTTTGTTTTTGAAGTTCGGCAAAGCGTGGCGCTTATAATTTGCATAATAAAGTGCTTAGGCTACCTGAAACCAATAAAAGAAATACTCACAAAAAAGAACACAGAGAGAAAGAGAGAGAAAAACACAGACCTAAAATAACATGACGAGAATCAACCGCGTATCGCTGTCAATGGAAACATAAATAAATTTATGTAAATTGAATAAAAATATTAATTAAATTCCTCTTGCAGACCAACAAAGTACGAAACACACAAAAAAAAAAAGAAAAAGTAAAATAAAATTACGTCAGTCGAAAAGTCTCTGTGGGTTCCTGAGTACACACCTCTCTCTCTCTCTCTCTCCCTCTCTCAGTGGCTTTGGTGCTGGTTCCATGCGTATTATTATTTTAATCTTCTTTGCGGTTTGAAAATAATTGCTTTTTAATTGAAACGCGGGTGTCGCCAAAATAGCAAAAGAAAAAAACAACAACAGCAATAGCAACAAAAACTGCATAGAAATTACATCGGGGATTTGTCTATCCTAATTGATCATTAGTTATTCCGGTCAGCGGCCCAGGGTTCACGCCGGCTGCTCCGACAACTTGTTTAACATTTTGCTTATTAGTTTCGTTTGATGAGCTTTTTGATTGATTGTCGATGTTGTTGCTAGTTTTCCGTAAACTGGAAGCATTAAAGGCTTTCGACTTACCGTTCGAACCACTTGATTTAATATTGCCGCCTTATCCGGTTTCGTTGATGTCATATCTCCCCGTTTATTGAGCTGCAGAAACTCGGAGAGCTGCTCAATGTAATTGTTTTCCATTTCCCGACGTCGCTTCTCATTGTTGCATTTGTTTATTTGTGATTGCGGCTGTAAGAAGAAAAAAGTTTTATTAGTTTAAATAAAGCTTTAGCTTCTTTAAATAACTTTATTATATAATTATAAATTTTGCTATTTAATATATCTATATAATTAAAACAAATGTCTTCAGCTGAAAATTTGATTAATCTTAAAGCTTAAAGCACTTCATGAAAAGCTCCTAGAAAAGTAAAATCTACAGATGTTCATTGATGTATATTTGTCTGAACTTGTTCCTTATACAACTGATAAAAAAGCCGTGAAGCTTACTGAGCTAATAGTAGTAGCTAATTATCTTCAAATTTTTGGATGCTTTATATAGATATAAAATTTTTTATATAGATAAATAATCAATTCTACACTTTGAAATGTTAATAAAAGCTTTTATAAGCTAATTAACTAAAAGCTTTTGTGCTCAGTTTTCGTTCAATATTGATTTTTTACAATTGTACTGAAGTAAAATGTAGTTTTTTTTATGAACGATTTTCTGAAAGATTTAATAAAAATTTAAAGCTCTATAAAATTTCAAATATTTAAAGCTTTTTCATAACTTCCTAAAAACTTTGCTCAAAGATTTTTATATTAAATTTTAGTCAGCTTTAATTTCATGAAACACTTATGAAAGTTCTAAGTCTATGAGCTTTAAACCTTACAATGAATATCTTATTATTTATCAATTTAAAAACTTTAAGTTAGATAAATTTTAAAGATTTGAAATGTAGGATTAATCGAAGCTTTAAGCTTTACTTTTTCAGTTGGCGCTTTCAGCTAATTATTAATTGTAATTGTAAATCTAACTATTATTTAATGTGATATTTTCAATATGACTTACCAAATTAATTTTGGTATCCGTCTTGCGACGTATCTTGCGACCCGGCGTCGCTGAGTTGGCTGGAATCGGCGATGCCACCGCGTTCATAATGGCGGCCGATCGCTGCAATGCAGCTGCAATGTGCGCCGTTGCGGCGGCAGCTGCCGCTGCCTTGCTATGATGCGAATGATGGGAGTTGAGCTGCTGCTGCTGCTGATGGTGCTGATGCTGCTGATGCTGTTGGTGCTGTTGCTGCTGGTAGAGCAGTTGTTGCTGCTGTTGCTGCAGGGTGAGCAGATTGTTGGCAGTAGCTGCTGCGGCAGCGGCAACTGCTGCTGGCGAGGGTGAAGGAGCTGTGGGTGAGGTCGTGGCGCCTGCAACACCAGCGCCTCCGCCTCCCGCTGCTGTTGCGCGCTGCAGTGGCGTGCTGGGCGCCAATCCGTGCTGCAGCTGCGCCACCGGTGCCGGAACGGGGCCTGGGCCAGTTACCACACTGCCGCCAGTCGCTGCGATTGTAACGGCTGCGGTCGCAGCGGCCGGTGATGAGCGCGGCAGATTGCAAACTGAGTGGTTGTTGCTGTTGTTGTTGTTGTTGCTGCTGAAGCTATTGCTGTTGCTACTGCTGCTGCTGCTGTTGTTACTGTTGGTGTTGCTGTTGTGCTTGTTGTTGCTTGCGTGAGCTGCTGCGGCTGTTCCTTTTGTTGTTGCTGTACCTGAGGCCCAATGATCTGGTAAGTCACCTGGGCTAAGCCTGCAAAAGAATAGACGAAAACAATTATTTTCGATTAGTGGAAACTTTTCGTCGTTATTTTTTTTATTTCATTTCATTTTGGCAAAGTTACGGCCTTGGCCCTAATTCTTGACTTTGGCCCCACACACGACTTAAGCAGAATGCAAATGTCTTGCAAATAGGCCTCAATTTCTAGCTAATGTGCTGACTCGATTACAACGCCATATTAGCTAAGACATTTGCATTTTGTGAATTGCATAGAAAGGCAGACATTTTGAATTAAACCTAAAGCTAAGTTCAGGAAGTTAACTATTGGGGCATATTAGTTTATCTTTATATATTATTGAGTTATTTATATTTCTTGAGTTATTGTAAGCTCAACTTTTTAAATCATAATTAAAATTCCATATAAGCTAGTTTAAAGAGCTGAATCTCATAGAGGCTTCTTGGTATTGTTTTATATTATTTTAGAGATCATAGAAATTTATAACGGTATATTTATATTTTGTCAAAATTTGTGAATCGCATAGAGCGGCTCATATAGAGCTCAGCTATAAATGTTTTATAACATTACACGACGTATTTTAAATGGCATATCATAATTATTTAACTTTGTGAATCGCAGAGGAAAGCTCAAATTGTGTATTGTATCGAAACAAAACTTATTATGTACCAGAACAGCTTTCAATGAATTTTATTGGTTTATGTATAAACTAACTCAGGTGTGTATATCTGATTATTATCTCAATTTGTGAATCACGTAAAGAAACTCAAGTTTTCTTTGATGTCTAAGTTAAGCTAATTAAGTCTGAAAAGACACACACAATGTGGTTTCTATGTCATAGAAATGTATAAATATATACATATCTGCATTTTAAAAGCCTTTGCGAATCGCATAGAGCGGCTCACCTTCGTCGAAGCTAAGCTACTTACTTATTATGACATTATAAAAGATATTTTTTATAATATATCAACTTATAAATACATGCATTAGCTCATGCTTGGGAATCGCATAGAGAGGCTTACTTTTCTGTTTACTTTTCCTATATATATGTATACATATTTATATTCATCCCATATATTATAATGTCTATTTTGAAAACATTTATGCATTGGCAATTATCACGAAATAATTTCTCACATCTCTTTTAGCAGGTAAAATACAGTTGCTGGCCACCTGCTGACTTAGGCAAATTCTGTGGCGTGGAAATGTTTTGCAGCGCCCGCTGTGGCCGTCACCCACACGCCGTCACGCCCACCGCAACGTGAGTCAAATTAATGTTGTCAGTTTTGTTGCTTCAGTCCGGAACCACAGCTCAGTCTGACTATCCCAAACAGATACACAAGGCAGCCCCACTTCGTGGTCCTGTCAAGTGGATATCAGCGTCATAAACATTTGTCATATTAATATTGTGGTTGTTGTTCCTCCTCTTCTACTTCTTGTTGCCGCTGGCGTTGTCATGGCTGCTTTTTGTCTTTAAAATGCTTTGCTTTTTATACATTTTGTTTTTATTTATTTTTCGCATGTATTTGGTTACGTGATTAATTGTTTACTTTGTGCGCCCAAAGTGTGGCATATTATTTGCTTTTTATTTACGTAAAGAGCACTTGCAAAAAAAATAAATCTTGTTTGCATTTTTCATTATAATTTGGAACTCTTACGGCACTTTTGCTACGGAAATTTTTAATTGCTTCCACACATCTCAAACTGTAGCAAAAATACATTTTCTGAATGGAAATGTTACTAATAATATTTTTTTGCTCATTTTTTCTTTTATGAAATGTTTGAAAAATTTTAGTATATATATTTAAGCATTGTTCAATAGAATTATATATATTTATTCTTTCTCGAATTTTTATGAAAATAAAATGAATGAAATTGTTCAAGAAAATTCTTGAAACGCCTTTCGAATAATATATATTTATGTTTATAAACAATAACAATTTTTGTATATCTATATGCAATTTTATTATAGTATTCATATTTATTCAGTAATAAGATTTTTTATTTTATTGTCAAGTAATTGTTATAGTTTTTAGAATTTTTATGGCAGTTCAAATGGAAGGCAATTGGAAAAAAATGTTCTTTTCGCATTTTAAAAATATATTTTGTATTTTTACAAAATTTAAATATAGGGTGTAACGATTATATATATTTTTTATATGTTTGTCTATTTCTATTTTTGAATTTTTTATATTTTGTGATATATTTAAATTTTTTATATATTTTGTAAATTTTTATATATTTAAATATTTTTTTATATTTCAATATTTTTTTCTATATTTCAATATTAGTTTTTTTTGTGTCTCTTATCTATCAAAATATTTAATTGAATTAACAAAGTTTAGGCCACGATATCAATTTATAAATTTCCCAATTATTTACAGGTGTTTCAACTGGCGTTTCACTCAATTGGCTTTGTCATTGCGGATGTCAAATGTTTTGTAAAACGAAAGTTAAATTGAGCGATTCTGCGACTCGGCCACTGGCCAAGGCTATAAATACCACAGGGCCTCAATAGCCTACGGATTGATAAGTTGTGAAATTAGCGCTATGAGCAATGCGATTGCAGCATATCATACATGAATCAACCATATATATATATATCATATATATATATATATATATATAGCTATATCTATTTATGGCCTGGTTGATAAGAACAACACAAAGAGTCAAATGAAACTGCATCAATTGTAATTTAATTAATTAACGCTGTAGTTTATATGCGCTAGCTTCTTTAATTAAGCGCGTCAATCATACGCTCCGTGCGCCGTGCCATGCCCAAATAGAATAACCCAGCTTCATTATGATTATCACCTTCATCATCATCATGATCTGCTAGCTGGCACATTAATGTGTCACCCTGTCAGGCAGAGCCACAACAACAACAACAACAACATATAAAATAAAATAAGTCAGCCACAGAAAGAATCTGCACAATTATTGCGCCTGTCAAGGGAAACCATTTGGGTAGGCCAAGCCAAGAGGGACGTGCGGGCGTGGAGGCGCAGCACCGCTGCTTGTACGTCACTCATTTTCGCGCCGCTCATTGCATAGGGCGGCCATTCACAATTTGTTTTTTCTTCTTTCTTTCTTTAGTGCTTTTTTTGGCCAGCTGCCTGTCACCTCCGTTCCGCCTGCTCCCTGGACAGCGCTCGAGTCTACATCTTTTTTTTTTAGTAAATTCTGTGCATACCTCGTGATATAAATGTAAGCTGGCTAGAGTTACTAAGTTGGCTAAATGACCAAGTTTTTAGATTGTGCAAAGCTAGACTTAAAATCTTTATTTTAGCAATTTTCGAAGAGCATGTCTAAACTATAAATTGAAAATATAATAGAAAACATACAAATATAGAATATTGTATACATATATAAATGCATATATGCACATAGGTATATATATATATATATATATATATATATATATATATATATATATATATATATATATATATATATATATATATATATCAACTTAAGTTTCACTCAATTTTTTGATGAAGAGTTGCTTTTAGTTTTTAAAGCCTTGATTTATTTTTATATATTCTAACAGAATATTTATTGTTTACTTATTTATTGTTATCAAAATGCAATATATTTTTCTTTAATTTAATCTATATTTCATATATATTTAATCTATATTTTTATCTATATTTTAACTATTTTTTTGTCTATAATTTAAATATATTTTTATATTTTTTATCTATATTTATCTCTATTTTATCTCTAATTCATTTATATTTTATCTATATTTTTATATTTTGGATCAATATTTGATTTATATTTAATCTATATTTTAATCTATATTTTATCTCTGTTTAATTTCTATTTAATAAATATTTCATCTATATTATTATCAAGATTTCATCCATAATAATCTACAATATTTGTGTATTAGATCAATTCGCTGAAAAGAATATCTATCAATCTCTCAGCTGAGTATTTCACACGATACAATTTCTTTAAAACGCTGTCAATCTAAATAAAACAGGAAAATCGATCGAAATTCTTAGCAAACTCAATTCTGAAATGCACTGCTCACTATGCACTTAAGCAACAGCTTACAGGGTATATCAGTTTGCATCATATTCAATTAGCAAGTTTAACCCATTGCAGCGCTTCTGGTCGGCTTTATGCTGATTACATCGCTAACTCGTGGCGTTCAGTGTCTGTAATTATTTTTGCTTGCATTCGCAGTCGCAATCGCAATCTCTTTGGGGCTCCGGCAGAGGCCTTTATTATGCATATAATGTAATTAAAAAAAGAAGTCAAAAACTCGGTCGCTGGACACTAGCCACGAGTTGCCGGGTGGTCCCAGGTAAGCCATAGATACATATATACATATTAAAAATTAAAAGGGGAGCTGTAGATTTCTTAACGCTTCGCTGCATTGGAGTTGACTTTCAAGAGTGCAATTAGAGATCAAGTTGAAGTGAGTGCTGGAACACTTGGCAGTCTCTTGTCAACTGCGAATGCCCCCAATTGTGGGTGGAGAAATTGTAAGTGATATTAAAAGAAATGTCACATAGTTGCGACTTTATTAACTGAACGTAACTGATCAACTTTCAGAAAGAAGCCAAACAAATTTTGTTTAACTTTTCTCTGTACTTTAACAAGAAAAGCTAGATAAATATAGATTAGCTTACTCTATAAAATTTATTGCTAGCCAATCAGTTAAAGCTGAGGTACCGGGAGGTATTATCATTGTAGCATATAGCCTTCAGCTTATGCGTAAGCAAGCTATGTATATCTTAAATTTGTCTACAAAACGAGCTGAAACTAATGAGCTTTCAAAGCTCTGGTTAAAATAAATATAATCATTGTCAAGCTTTAGGCTTAGAAGCAAAGAACTTGCGCTCTCTTCATAACTTTCAGGATACATACACTCAAAACTTGCAGGCTCTAGCTAGGAAAACGTGATCATTGTCAAGCTTTAAGCTACACAAACAGCTTTTGCCCACTTTCCGCCGTCCAGGCTATATACACTCAAAACTACATTGAGCTTTTAAAGCTGTAG